AGCTGATGCCATGAATACTGCCTGGGTCATCTGAAACCTTTCCTGGAGAAGGAGGCACAGTGGCCAGAGGCAGAGCCAGGCTACCTTGGGCTCAACCGAGACATAATGGAAGTGCATGCCTAACTCCTCTGGGATCGATCCATTCTTCCCCCACCCAATACTTCCCAACCAGGCATCACTGCCTGGAGCCTCAGCATCCCTGTCCCAAGCTACTTATGCACTCTCTTCCCCCAATTCCTAGCATGATCTACTTTCAGGAAAGATTCTGATGAATTTGTTCACACAGATAGGAAATGACTCATAACAGCTTAAAGTGTAGTGTCTCTTTCTGGTGTTTGCATTTCAAAGGGAGCCAAATCTTAAATCAGAAAGAAAAACAAAGCTCCAGTGGTGTAATTTCAGTTATTAAAGAGAGAGTAGCAAAAGGTTTTTGAGAAGGAGAGACTGAATTGAATTCTCCCCTATTTGTATCTTCAGTCAATCTGGGAGAAATTAGCGGTGCTGTCAGTCCCACTCTCTGTGCCTCAGTTTCCTCATTTCTAAAACCAGGGTTGAGCACCTGCTTACCCAGGCCTCTCCTGGCTCTAATAACGTGGGGTCTTTGCAATGGAATGGCCACCCAAGGATCGGAGCAGAAATACTTACTGTAAATATTGCCTCAACTCGGGCGCCTGGGTGGCTCAGTTGGTTGAGCGACTGCCTTCGGCTCAGGTCATGATCCTGGAGTCCCGGGATCGAGTCCCACATCGGGCTCCCTGCTCAGCGGGGAGTCTGCTTCTCCCTCTGACCCTACCCCCTCTCATGTGCTCTCTCTCTCTCTCATTCTCGCTCTCTCAAATAAATAAATAAAATCTTTAAAAAAAATAAAATAAAATAAAATAAAATTAAAAAAAAATATTGCCTCAACTCACTGCCAGAAGCAGGACAGACTGCCATCAGACAGACAGATCATGGCTCCAGTGAGAACCAGACAAGCATCTGCCTGGTCTCTGCTTCCCCAGCAGCAGCTGAGACCCCTCCCACTCCCCACTCCTCGTGAGATAGGAAGGTGCTCTAGACGGTCCTCAGGACATAGCTGGGTAGCTGGACTCCATGTGGGTTGCAGCCCTAAGTGTCCCCAGAATCTGGGTCATTTGCACAGAAGCCAGCAGACCTGCTCTAGTCCAAGCCAGGACGAGCTGCGCCTCCTAAGTCCCATTTTAACATCTGTTAGATGGAGGTGATGCTGTCTCCCTGCCCACTTCCCAGTCTGGATGAGCAGCTCCAAGGCGGTGAAGTGCTTTGCCCAAAATAACGGGCACAATGCCTCGGGCAGCATCTCCTGGGGCATGGAAAAGCAGGACCCACCTGGACCTCCAAGATGCTTCTGTGTCCTGCACTGGAGGGAGACCGGCTGGCTTGCTCCTCTCCTTCTCCTCTCGCCGGTGACCTTCTTCCCCTGCCTGGGCCGCTGCCCCCACAGCATACCCACCTCCAGCCAGTGCGAGCCCGCGTCCTCCCAGTCTCAGAGCTGGGCCTCCCTCAGCCACAGAGCTCCCGGGCCAGGCAGCAGCAGCTAGGGAGGCTGCCCGGGGCTCCTTAGGGGCCGCTAGACCGGGGTGGGGCTGGAAGTGGGGGTGGAGAGTAGATCTGATTTGCTGTGCTCTGCTGACTTAGAGCCTGGCGAACCACCGCCAAGGCCAGTGGGAAGTCCGATGGGGGTTGCTGCCTGGCTGGCCCTACCAACTCTGCAGGAAGCTCAGCAGACTACAGCGTCCACCTGCAGGTATTGGGAGAAGGCTTTTGGCCCCCAGAGATCCCTCCAGGCCATATTTTTGGTCCAGCCACCCAAGAATTCCCCCTTCAGGCCCCTGCCAGCCCCCCTTGTCCAAGCTGGATAATGAGATCTGGTGAGGAGATAGCTTCTAGGCCAGCTCTGAGTGCTGGAAAGTTCTTCCTGACAGTTGAGTTGCATCGTCTTAGTGTAACTTGCCCCCACCTGTCCTAGCTCTGCTCCCTGGAGCCACACAGAACAAGAGTGAGCCCCCGGCCCCAGGATCGTCCCCTTCTCCCCACCTTTGGCCCACCCGAACAAACAGGGGCTCTTCAGCCAAAGGGGTTCTAGGCTCACCTCGCCGTCAGTCTGCTTTCATCTGCCCAGGATTTTACCTCAGGAATACAAGCCAGAGCTCCCTCCTTGTAAATGTAGGCAATTGACTGGTGGGACCGAAATTAAGGACTCTGCATTCACTTACATTTACATTTCATTTTCTTGGTTTTGATCTGAATGTTGAGATAGCCTCAAATCTTGAATCTGTTGCCATGTGGGTGTTGGGGCTCTTATCCAGAGATCTGATAAGCCTGCCTTTTATTTTCCCTCTGCGTTACTTAATGTCAGGTCAAGGCTGGAGCCCGAGGGACCTCTAGGTTGCACTAAAGCCTTTAATGAAAGCCCTGTTGTCAGTCCTCCAGCGCCTTCCACATCTTGCCATCACTTTCCAGGGCTCTCACAAAAGATCTTTGCTGTGTCCTGCTGAAATCCTGCAGTTCGTCTCTGTTCCTCTCAGAAACCCAGTCCGAAAGAGGAAATTTGTTGAGTTTGGTCCGACTTGCTTTTAGTGAACACTGCTACTGGGTCCTCACGTGCGCTATGTTCTTTTCTTTCTTTTTGGAAAAAAAAAATTGTTTTTATAAAAAACGATGTGCTCCTTATAAAACAGTTCTGAGCACCACGAAAGAAGGGAATGAACATCGCTGAAATCTCACATGCAGGGTGACTCCCACGGCCAATGTGTTTATGATGCCTCTTGCCATATCCCCTCGGCCTGAAGATCCCAGCCGTCGTGGACTGTTCCTTGCACTTCCTGTGCCCTGCCCAGCCTGCACTCAGGTGTCTCTCTGCTCTGCTTTCTTTGAAGCCAAGAACAGGAACCTTCTAGGAGTGCAGGAGGGGCAACCCTCAACCAGTGGAGAGCAGCAAGCAGCAGGCACTCCCCTCTGGTGTGGGGCAAAACTTGGGTGCTTTTTGCATGATCCCCAGAGGGTCCCAAGAGGGATAGAGCCCTCAGGTGCCCGTGGCTAAGCCCCAGATCATTCCTGCACCCATTTTTCTTCCTCTCCCACCTCACTCTCTTGACCTCAGCTTTCAGGCGTCAAACTCCTCGGACCCGAGCCCTTGTTTTAGGGTACACTTTCAGAAGCAGGGGAAGCCACACGAAGATATCTCTTTGCATATATTTTACATATATATCCTATAATAAGCCTATGTGATTTTGCATAAAGGGGATCATACTACACATGTGTTCTAAAACCTGCTTTTAAAAAAATCACTCACAGTAGGCAGGGACCATATTTCCGTGCCCGTAAATAAAATCCTAAAAGCAGTTCCTACTGTCTCCATAGTATGTCATTGCAGATGTGTTTCATCATTTAATTTACTTAATTATGGACATGTTGATGGTTTCCAGTTTTGCACTGAGCTGAAGATGGTCATGCACATCCCTTTGCAAGTGTACAGGATGGCATCCTTTGACAAAATTCCGAGACGTTGGATGGCTTTATTATCTCCTAAGTATTAACTACGTGTTTGATGATTTATTCTGGAATCTTAATAGAGGCCAATATGAATCTTAGCAACTTGGTGATTTTTTTTCCTGTTTTAAATCTATCTTTACTTCCTTTTTGAACATCAGGACATTTGCCCATCTTTCATTTTCTGGTTTCCCTTCATTCTTTGTCATTTCCTTTAAGGCCGTGATTATATCTGCAAGGCCTCCCCATCCCTGGGATGTCATTTGTCTGGGTGCCTTCTTCCCATCACCTATCTTGGGTTTCAATTTCCTCCTTATGCTCTTTACTCCATCGTTTGGAGTAAAATTGCCTGTGCCCTGCTCTGCCTGCCCTCCCTTGCGTGTTAAGGTTATACCACATATCCCAAGCCCTGAGCAGAGTCTGTCGTGTAGGCCTTCCTTAGACTTTGAAAGCTCTTTGCTCTTTTTTAATTTCCCCTGGCTTCTGTTCACTCGGGCTTTGGTGTTTTGCTAACACTATTCCTACAGATCCTGCCAGTCTTCCAGATTCATCTTGGGTTATGCATTCTTGTTTGCATCTTTGTGTGCGTGCACTTTTCAAACCCGGCAAGTGCGGCCACGCAAGGGGTTCTGTGAAACTCTCTTTTCTTTCTCGCCAGCAGTATTTGCATGTACTCCTTGAAATTTCAGGGTTTTATTATCTCCTGAAGCGCCTCTCTTACACATCTTGTGTTCTTTTACCCTCACACGCCACCCTGTGAATCCAACTAAATGTAAATTTCTCCATTCGACAGATGGGTAACCAGCGGCACAGAGAGGTTTTGACACGACCCCAAAGACACCCAGCAAGCCAGCCGACCAGGCCTCAGTCTTCCAGCTTCTTAGCCTAAATATGGTTTCCCTTGCCCACCTTGGCTGAGATGGGGGTCTGGACCCGACTTGGTAAGGTTGGAGCAAGCAGCCTTATGTCTGAGACTTATACCTTAGAGTCCTGGAGGTCAGGTCCATAAATCCACCTTTCCCCCAGGGAGAATAATTCTCTCTGCACAGAAGAAATCTTGTCTAGAATTCCATCTCCCCCAGTACTCCCACTCCCAGCAGGCAAAGTCGGTGGGTGACGATTCCACTGAAGCCAATAGCCGAACTCACCTGGTTTCAAATGATCCCCTGCCCAGGCAGGAGGCAGCCTGCGATGCCCACAGGGACGTAGAAGCCCCTGTCTCTCTGTCTCTCTGTCTCTCCGTCTCTGTCTCTGGCACACTCATATACACCACACACAGTACAGAGCACTCTAAGTCTTTCTACCTCTCTCAGTGTCTCTCTGTCCCCCCCCGCCACACACACACACTGTCACAGTGTCTGGCTCTGGACAGCCCTCAGTGATCAGGTACCCCAGCCCCTTTGCTCTCCCTTGGCTCACGGCTCCTGAGTCAGTACCCGACCCACACCCACTCTCAGTCCACCCTCAACCCCAGCTCCAGGCTCACTCACCCTCCATGCTGCCCACTCCCGCCGGCTCTGGGGTTGGGCACAGCGGGCCCCTCCGCCCTGGCAGGCGGCGGGGGTCTCCGGGCGCTGGGGTGGCCTGCCCGCGCCCCTACCTCTGCGCTCCAGGGATCGAGTCCGGGGCCCGGCGGAAGCGGGCGGGACGGGGAGGGGGGCGTGCGCCCGCAGGGCCCAGCCCTTCGCGGGGTCTCGCTCCCCCTCGGGGCCCAGAGTCAGTCCCGAGGCGGCCCGGCTCCCGCGCAGCGCCGCCGCCTGCCCGGCTCTGAGGCCGCCGGCCCGCTGCCCCGCGCCTCCTCCGGCGGCAGCGAGGGAGGGGGGCTCGCGCGGCGCCGTCGCCACGGCAACCGGCATGCCCGTGCCCGCCGCAGCGCCCCCTGCCCGATGCGCCTCTCTCCGCAGGGACCGACCGAGCGCCCCTCCAAAGTCGGGGACACACCCCACTGCCCACTGCAGCCCTGGCAGCGATGTCCACTAACTCTGTACCTCTCTCCCCGTGCCCCACGTCCCAGCCTCTGTCCCCGCTCCTCCTCCTCGTCCCACCCCAGCCTGACCCCCCAGCCACGCACCCCGGTGTCCAGGACCCTACGGCCCTCCTGAGAAGGAAATGGGAGGCAGCTGTGAATACCCAGGAGCTCCAAAGGAGGGAAGTGGGGGCTCCCCATCAGCTCTGAGCTCTGTGAGGGATGTGGGGACACTGTCCCGTCGATGACCACTGACACTGCAAGCAGCGGGTCCAGGCGTTCAGCGCTTTTCCCCTTGGGCAAGTTTCTAAGACTGCACCTGAGTCTCAGTTTCTGCGTTTGTAAAATGGTTTCCCCGCGAGTAAATGAGATGTCAAAGCGTCTGCCCAGCACAGAGTAGATGCCCAACAAATGGTCCCTTGAGCTGGATGGGAGCCCCCCACCCCCAGGCCCCGTCAAGCCCCCAACAACCACCACCATAGACTTTTGTCACATGAATGAAGATCCTAGGTTTCAGGCAGATGAAAGAGAGTGACTGGCCCATTCCTTCCTTTATTGGGGGTGGGGTTTATATCCAGAGTGGAGGAAAAGGTTGGAATCCAGCTTCTCCCTAGTCTCCCTCTAGCTCCTCGTCTGCCCCCAGTGGCTGGCAGGGTCTCAGAGCTGGAAGACCTTAGCAGCCAAGGAGTCTAACCCCGCCTTGGGGCAGGGGTCTGGATCCTAATGCCCAGCAGTGGGTATTTCTGCCTCACATCACCCTCTCTTTGCCCAGGATAGCCCAGAGAGGGCAGAAGGGAGGGAAAGCTCCCTGTCAAGTCCGCCCTTCTGCAGGCCAAACATCTGATTTTCTTTGGGCTTTTTTTCTTCCTGTGGCTTGCCTCAAGATTATCTGTAAAATGGAACTAATAACAGTGTCTATCTCCCGGAGTCGCTGCGAAGATTAAAGGAGTTACTCTATGTAACACACTTGGAACAGTGCCTCGCCTGAGTAAGTGCTCCATAAATCCAGGTTATTCACATCATTACTATCTGGAGTCCACCTACCTATGGAAGTGCTCACAGTTCTTAGAGGCCCTCTGATTGTCAGGACCCAGAACTGTGACAGGTGACATCAAGCCCCCTTGACCAATGCAGAGTTCAGGACCCTGCTGTAAAATCCTTAGAGCCCAGCACTGCCACTTATTGTAGGTGTGACTTTGGGAAAGTTTTATAACCGCTCTGTGCCTCACTTTCCCCTGATCTACAAAATGGGGATAATAGTACCCACCGGAAAGTCACACCCAACAGTGCCTGGCACATAGCAGGTGCTCAATAAATATGAGCTGTATGTATTTGGGCACTAGGCATCGAATAACTCAAGCTCACTGTTTCACTTCCCCCCCCTTCTTCCCCTTTTCCCTGCCTTTTACTTTTCCTTAGCAGCCACATCATTCTAGGGCATTAACTCAGGCTTGTAGCCAAGTTCCCCCACTCCCCATCCTTTTTATTTGAGTGGTTCTGGATTATGAAGCCTCTTTTTCTTCCTTCTGCCTCCTGTTCTACAGACTCCTTTCTTCCACCTTTGTGCAGGGCCCAAATATAGGAACACGCCCAAGCAGCACACAGAACACACTCCGTGGCTCCAGCCTCTGCGGGGCAGGGAGGGCAGTGCCATGGAGAGAAGGACCTGCGTGTGAATTCTTCCTCCACCATTTATCATTGTGTGTGACCCAGGCGATAAGCCCTCTGACTTCATTTTCCCCATCTGTACAATGGGATTCACAATCCTCCTCTCAAGGCTGCTGTGAAGTTTGAAAGTCAAGTGCCCATAATTCAGTGCCCTTCATTATCCACAAAGCTATGGGTAGAAGTCAGATAGACTGGATAAGATCTTTCCATGCAGATAAAAAAAATAAAAAGTGCCTCCTTTCACTCCCCTCCTTACCCCAAAGGGGCTCCCAGGAAACCGGAGTCGCCTCCATGTTCTATTTTAGATCATGCCTTCCTCCTGGGCTCGCCTGACCGCAGGACTGGGGTACTTGCCAATACTGATCCGCAGATCGAGAGCCCTTCAGACAAGCAAGGCACCCTTGCTCCTATTTTGCAGGTGAAGCCACTGCGTTCCTCAGTGCCTGACCCAATACTGCACAGCTGGGCAGGGGCGAAAAGAGGAGGAACACTCTTCTAGACTTCTTGGGCATTGGCCCTGCTGCTCCCACCACTCCCTCAGACTGCCCTCAAGGTTCTTGGCCCTCTGGGAGCATCTGAGAAACTATGGGTATAGTCATCCAGGACACAGAAGCAGTCCCTGTCCGTCTTGAGGAGGCCCACCCCCTCCTTGACCTTCAGGGCTTTCAACTCTGCTCATTCTGGCCAAGCTCTTGGCCTGGCCCCTCCTCCTCAGGGGAGCTGCTCCCCATCCCGACCGGCCTCCATCAGCTGTGGCCTAGGGAGTCTTTCCACAGAAAGACTGGAAACTGATTTCCATCCGAAAATTTCAGCTGGGAACCAGGAGGTGGCTTACGGGCAGTGGGATGGCGAAGGTCCGTGACAGGAGAAGAGCCTTCTGTGCTGAAGCAGTGATGTGGGCCCCTGCTTGCAGAAGGGTCTAAAGGGAGCTGGGGAGGAGGTAGAGGGGGATCTTCTTAGAACCAAGCTTTCTGGAGGGCAGTGAGGGAGATCAAAGGGGCAACAGGATGACTGAAGGACTGCCTTTCTCCTTGGAGGTTTAACCTCCTGGTCACAGGGCTTCGGTGGGTATGGCTGGAATGCCCACGAACGCCTTCTTTTCTCAGCCCGGGCGGAGGTGTGTTCCGAGATGCCTGAGAGAGTTGGTAGGATCCTGAGGGAGGGTTGGCATGAAGCCAGGGAGTGCCCTGTGGGGAAGCTCTCGGGTGGTGGGAAAGCCAAGCATCTCCCATGGGAGACCCAGTCTCTCTCTTCCAGGCTGGAAATGGAAATGCACTTGGGCCTGTGGGGCAAGGAAGACCACTGGCATAGCCATCGTTTTGAGAAGCTCAAATCCACAGGGAAGGGGAAGGGGAAGGGGAACGGGACTCAGCCTGGGGGGCAATAGGGGTTCCCTGGGGAGCAGACCCCGGCACACTGCTGGCATTTTCAGCATCTATTCGGTGGTAGTGGAGGGAGTTGGGGGAAGGGGGACTGTCCCTGGGAAGGGTGAGGCCAGGGGAGCTGTAGAGAGGCTGGGGTCTGGACTGAGTGGGGGCCCTTTCGGGGAGCCAGGAGGTGCCCCTCCGTCTCCCGAGCCAGCCTCGGAGGAGCACTTCCCTCAGAATGCTTTCAAATGCTTATTAGTGAGCTCTCCCGGGAGAAGGAGGCCAGAGTGGTTATCTGCATTTCCAAGGACTGACTCAGTTCCCGGGCTCAGCTAGGGCAACACAGCCCTGCAGGAGAGGCCAGCCCGGAGGGCGAAGCAGAAGAGCTCCCCAGCGCCAGGACCCTCCCAGGGCCCCAGGAAGGAGCCAGGAAACCTGCCCACTTGTCTGGGCTCTGCCACCCGCTCCGACACGTTCTTGGGCAAGTCACTCCACGTGCCCTTTGGGACACTCCCTCTGGAACTCAGTGTTTCCACCTATAACATAGGGGAGGTTCGGACCAGAACTTTCTTACTCTGACAGTTTACCTTGTCCTCTGGAGAACCCAGGGTAAGAAGTGTCTCTTCTTGAGGAGGGGCTGGGCAGCACCCCAGGGAACCCCAGCTCTCTGGCCGGGGTCCTGCACCCTGGGCGGCAGTGCTGTAGGCTTCTGGATCGAAGTGGGGTTCGGGTCAGGAAGAACACGTGTGTGGGAAAGGTGTTGAAACCTCTTGGGAAAGGTGGGCAGCTTTCTGGGGGCAGCCCAGGGGCCTCCTCCAAGTTAGGTGGGGGCTTGGTAAATCATTTCCCGGGGCCCCGGACACCAATTCTAAGAAACATGGATTCTGCTCACAAGGTCTGGGTTTGGACACCAGTCGCGCTGTCTGACCTGGGCCAGGTTCCCGGTCTCCTCCAGTCCTCAGTGTCCTCGTCCAGAAAATGTAAATACAAGTATTAGCTGGCTCAGACGTTGCTCCGGGGATTAAGTGGGAGAAGAAATGGGAAGTACTCAGCATAGTCACCCACATGGTAAGCTGCTAGTGTCTATTTTTATTTTACTTTCACCTCCTTTGTTTCTTTTTCTGCCCCGCTCTGTTCCTTTTGGCAGCGCTGGTTCTCTCCTTTCCCCTCAAGCTTTGGCTCCTTTAACAGAAACACGGAGCTGGTAATCTGCTTGGTCCCGGGAATATTCACGCCCTCCCAGGGGAATCTGTCATTAGGAAATCTTACCCAAACCTAGAGATGAGGCCAAGATGGCTAAGTGCATGCTCGAAGCGCTGGTTAACAGGCTGGCCCCTGAGAATGTACTGCTGTGGTTTTGTTAGTTACCATCAATCAAGGGCATAGACTCTGAGAAGTACAAGTGAACTTGTGGATTTGTGTCCAGCAGGAAAAACGTCAGCCCCAACGTGACTATTTATTGCACTGGGGGACGCTGACCCGTGTCGTATGTAGCAGCAAACTGACTCCAGTGGTCTTTTGAAATGTATTTTATTTTTTTTAAGGTTTTACTTATTTTTTGATGAGAGAGAGAGAGAGAGACAGCGAGAGAGGGAGAACAAGCAGGGGGAGCAGAGGGAGCACAACCCAGGCGCCCCAAGACACGTGTTTTTAGCTTCTGAAAATTACACCTTGGCACCACCTACCACCGGGACTTGGAGAAGGTGAGATGGGGTCTCAGTCGTCGAGAGCTCAGCTCTCAAACTTCATCGTGTCCACAGATCACGCGAGGGTCTTGTTAAAACGCGATTCTGACTCAGAAGTTCTGGGGCAAGGGGCGTCTGGGTGGCTCAGTCGTTGGGCATCTGCCTTCGGCTCAGGTCATGATCCCAGGATCCTGGGATCGAGCCCCACATTGGGCTCCCTGCTCAGCGGGAAGCCTGCTTCCCCCTCTCCCACTCCCCCTGCATGTGTTCCCTCTCTTGCTGTCTCTCTCTCTGTCAAATAAATACATAAAATCTTAAAAAAAAAAAAAAAAAGAAGAAGTTCTGGGGTGGGACCGAGCCTCTGCAGTTCCAACACATCCCCAGGTGCTGTTGATGCTGCCTGCCCGAGGACCACACCCAATTGGAGTGGCAAGGGCCCGGGCAAGCTCTCAGCTTTGTCTCAAGGGAACCCACTTCACCATCCTGAGAGGGGTTGGCATAAGATCACAGGGAGAGCCTAACCAAGAGCAGTGGTCTCATGCTGGTGGGACCTCGGGCATAGTGGCAGGCTTGTGGGGGTACCGGGAGACTGCCCCTGCTCTGTCAGCTTGGGCCTACTAGCTACCGGCCACTCCACTTAGGAAAAGCCCCAGCCACGGTACCATGACTTGTGAGGGATGGGTGTCCTACTGCTTGTCAGTCCTTGGGAAGCAGACTTCCTTGGTGAGATGCAAAGGCCCTGAGGCATGTATGACCTGGAGTATTAGAGGAACCGCAGAAGCCAGTGTGCCTGGAGTGTGGTGAGGGAGCCGGAAGCATGAAACGAGCAATGATGGAGGGAAGAAAACACCAGGCTCGAAACCGTTATAAGGACTTGGCTGTTATGTTGAAGTGCCATGGAGAATCCCTGAAGAACTTGGGCAGATGAGTGACTCAGGATTTGAAAGGACCTTCTGGGGGCGCCTGGGTGGCACTGTCGGTTAAGCATCTGACTCTTGGTTTTGGTCCAGGTTGTGATCTCAGGGCCGTGAGATCGAGCCCGACGTGGGGCTCCGTGCTCAGCGCAGAGTCTGCTTGAGATTCTCTCTGCCTTTCCTTCTGCCCCTCCCGTTCATGCTCTAAGATAAATACATAAATCTTTAAAAAAATAAAATTAAATAAAAAGTTAAAATTAAAAAAAAATAAAAGGCCCCCCTGGGTGCAGTACAGGAGAGGTGTGGGTCCTGCTTCAAGGCTGGCGTACCAGGGCTCAAGGTGGGCCTGGGAACCTCCATTCTCTCTGTGGTCGAGACCCAGCACCATGCCTTGCACAACTCCAGGGGCCCCTTCACATTGTTCTCTAGGTGCCTGGTGCCGACTAGCTAGAGTCCGTGGCGGGCGACATCCGCAGGGCAGCCCTGGGTCAGCCATGCCACATCCACTCTTGAAGACACCCTACTTGAAGCACGTCCAGTCTACAGGAGAGAGGGTGCCCCGGCCCCTAGGCTGTAAGAATTCGGATGTACACACATAGCACATCACGAGCCCCGGCTGGCCCTGAGCCAAGGCCTGCAACAGAGCTTCCGAGATCCCCCAGCTGTGAAGGCGGGGTGAGTGGGGGGTCTGTCGGTCTTCTCATGCCCTGTGGGAGTCGGTCTCCCACCAGCGCCCAGATGTGCCCCGGGGGGCTGTGTGACATGCAGCGCGGCCCTGCTCCGACCCACTAGAAGTTCTCGGCAGTGAGGGCTGGGCTCACACGAGGCAGCTGGGCTCGGATGGGAGAGGAAGCTCCCGGGTGTGCGAGATGGATGTGACGCTGTCCCCCGAGGGCTACTTACCCTCACCGTCTGTTGTGAACCCCTCTGACATTAAGGAAGCCAGGCAGGGGTAGCACCCATTTCACAGATGAACAGAGTTAAGGCGCAGAGGCCTCTTCACAGGACCGTAATGGGAGAAGAAGCGTGTGAGCTGGAGAAAGCCATTGTTTCTCCTGTCCGAGCTGGCCTCCCAGTTCAAACCCCAGCTCCGCTCCTTCCCAGGCCCATGCTAACCCCCTAACTAAGCCTGTTTCCTCATCGGCACAGCGGGCACCAAGAGGGGGACTCCTAAACGTGAATGAGAAACATCCGCTTGCCTGCCCAGTGCTCATACACAGCAGGAGCTCAATGAATGCTCTTGTCCAGACCTAAGGCAGCTGGGCTTGTGGCCCTTTTCTGAGGGAGGGGTCGGGCCCACTGGCCCTGAGACCCAGGTCCCTAGCGTGGTCTGGCTGCTCCCGGGCCCGGCCCGTCCTGGCCTCGGCATCTCCCCCGGGGCTACGCTCAGGCATTCTGGGGCAGAGCCTTCCAGGAACCGCTCTCCACGCCAGGCTGGGCTTTCTGAGAAGCAACAGGCATGTTTCATGTAAAAGGACAGCTCCAAAGCAGGGCTCTAGGGTCCCCCGTGGTATTTTGGAGAGACTGAGAATCAGTACCCTCTATGCGTGGTGACGGATGTTACCAGACTTCTGGTGGTGCTCTTTTCACAACGTCTACATACGTTGAATCAGTACCTTGTACACTTGAAGACTTGAAGCTAATATAATGTCATACGTCAATTATATCTCAGTACTACTTAAAAAACCCCTCGAGTCCCACACAGCTTACTGTCTACATTCATAAGACTTGGTTATACCCCCGCCCTTCTTCAACATAATGGTATTGTTCCAGGAAACTTCTGCCCAAGAAGGGGAAGTTGTAAATAACTTTATTGTTCAGTCCGGGGGCTTCCTGAATCATTTAAAGGAACAAACCGCCTAATTCTCTAGTAAATAGCATCAAAACAGAGTTTACATCTTAAGACTCTGTGATTTCCTTGCCTCAAAATGCCCCTTGCTGTGTCTGCTATCCTAAACCAGACCATAATCCTCACCCAGCCTTAGTTAAGGTGTCCATCCCCCACTGCTTTGAAAGCCCACCTGAAACCACACTCCGAAATCTAACTACTGTGACTTCTGTCTTCTCCTGGGGACACACTAGTCGGACTCTCTCAAGGCACAGCTTTCTTTGCCATGAGGAATCTGGAGCTTTGTCTGATCTAGGGGCCAATCCAGTGCTATTTTCGGCGAGCCAGGGTTTGACCAGAAGAAATGGAGTCCTCTGTCTGAGCTTTGAGGTGAGGGTGGGCAGCCTGTGTCCAGGCTCATCCACAAGGGACAGACACAGCAGGGCCCCAGAATCGAGAAATAGGGATCAAGTGTTCCAGACAGGCCTTCGAGGATGTTCTGGTGCAGCCCCCTTATCAACAGGAAACAGCCTGGAGAGGGAACGGGATCTGTCCAACTGAGCACCGGGTAGGGTTGTTACAGGATTAAATGAGTTAAGATCTGCCACAGGCTTAGACACTGCCTGGCCCAACTCAAGACAAACTCAGCTGGCCTTTCAGATTTAGAAAACAAAACCCGACTTGAACTCTGAACTCTAACTTGAGCTGGCAGCGGAACCCCCGGAAGGCCTGCTGGAACAGAGTGCCGGCCCCACCCCGTGTCTGATTCTGGAGATCTGGGCTGGGGCCGAGAATTTGCACGTCTAACAAGCTCCCTAGGTGTGCTGGTCCAGAGACCTCTCTCTGAGAACCACAGAACCTGACGAATGAATTGCTAAGGGTGTAATTTCTTGCATCGGTAAGGGAGAAACTGGGGGACGGCAGGTGCCTCCATCCTTTCCCAGGTCTGTGGTCCGCCCCCTGCCCCGCCACCGCCCGGGCTGTGGTCTGGCTGCCCTGCAGTTGCACAATTCTAGGCCATGCATCACCTCTGCCTGGCTGCCTCGGCACCCACCTGTCAACATTCTGAGTATCATCCCAGGGTGGTGCCTTTTGAACCTCAAGCTTTCAACAAGAGGGGCAGCCCCTCAGGTTTGACACCCAGGCTACGGGAGGTCTGTGCGGAAATAATGAACCCAGCACCAAGCAGGCGGATGAAACCAATGCGTTCTTTATTGCAGACTGAAGCTAAGGGCTCATTTACACTGTGGGCTTGGATGTGGGGGCTTCTCTCACAGCTCAGGCTTTCCCACACAGGCAAAGGCAAACTCTCCGAGCAGAGGAGAAAACAACTTCCAGAAGCAACAACCCCTTCAAAGGGCCTGACGTGAGGACGTGGGGGAGCAGGAGCTGGGTGTGCAGAGGGATATGCAGAGGGTAACCAGAAAGGCAGTATCCAGAGGGCCAGGCACACTCTCATCTGGTGACTTCAGGTCATTCCCTTCGCTGCAAGAGTCAACGCAGACTCTGAAAAGACCTAAGAGCCCCGGGGTGTCCCAGGGCTGGCTTAGGGAGGGGGCTGAGCACAGGCTCAGAAACCTGGAGAAGCAGGGGGAGGGCTGAGAACCTCCACCCGCCACTCCAAGGACAGCCCTAGGGTCACCACTAGACCCTGGCTTCTCAAACGGTAAAGTGCTTATAGGAATCGCCTAGGGATCTTGTTGAAATGCGGGTTCTGATTCTGGAGGCCTCGGGTGGGGCCTGGGATTCTGCATTTCTAATAAGTTCCCAGGGATGCCAGTGCTGCTGGTCCACAGACCACACTCTGAATTGCAAGGCTTTGGCCACACAGTGCCTTTGTGCCTATCAGAAAAGTACACTTCTTCTTTGACTCTGGGACACAGAGTGGGTAGGGCCAGGCCAGCCTGGAATGGGCCACAGTTCCCACTTGTCCACAGCTGAGCCCTGCAGCCCTGAAGATCCACCTGGACCTCCTTGCCCTGCAAACCCCTTTCCCAGAGCTTGAACCAAGCCTTATGACATGAGCGACTAAACACAGCATCTCTTGAGACACTGAGCACTCAGTGATGGGTCAACAATGGTCCCACCTGTCAGTCCTTGCCAGGAGACAGGGGGCCTGGGCAGGAGCAGGCCCCAGGGCTGGGGAGGGGAGAAGGAACACAGCATTCTGAGAATGAGGGTCTGGGCTGAGAGAAGCTTAACCCTGGGAGTGGAAGAGAGGCCACCGGTGCGTGGGTGTAGGATTGGATGGCCTGGCCTGGCCTGCCCCACGTCCTGGGGTCTCAGGTATCTTCCACAGACCAAGACAAAGGGCCAGGCCAGGTGCGCTCTGGGCTCTGAGTCGGCTTGCTCCACAGATGAGAAGGTGGGAGGTGGGTACCTAGGGCATCAGGAGGTCAGGAGTCAGGAGTTCTCCGCACCACAGATACCATCAGAAAGCAAGAGCCCCAGGCCCTTTCCTGGTAGGAAACCAGTTGTCCCTGTTTGCCAGGTACTGTCCCAGTGAGAGCACTGCAGTCCCATGTCCCGGGCAAGCCCTCAGTCCCAGCCCTATGGCTTGGCCACATCCTAGACTCCAGGTGGAGGGCCCAGAAATGACTAGGCCATCAGGGCTTTTGGGTGGAGGCGTGGGAGCTGGGCAGCCACAAATCCAATGGTCCAAAGTGCCTTCTGCCCCCAGGTGGACCAGTGACGAGGCAGCCACAGACTGTGGAGGTAGGCAATTACCTTGTACCAGAGCCACGGACGCAGCTGGCTTTGCTTCTCTTGGGCCACCTCTCCTGCGGTGCAAGGGCTGATGCCAGGCACACCTCTCCTTCGTGCTTCCGGCTCCTTCACCACACTCCAGGCACACCTGGTCTGTCCCGAGGCGCACTGGGCACTTCCTACCCCGCTGATGTCTTCATCATGAGGAAGGACTGAGCCGACCTGATTTGCTCCTCTGGTTTCCTGGCCTGATGGGCCTTGGGCTCCTAATAAACGTTCTCAGCCCTGGCTAGAGCACAGGGCCACACTCTCTCCACAGCTTTCCCATGACTCCTGGTTCAGGCTCCCGCCAATCCAGAGACCCACAGGGCTGAGGATGGGGCCCCTTAGAGGGCCTCATGCAGGTCAGTCCTCAAGAAGCAATAAACAGCTGGAGGCTGTCTCCTATTCCTCTCAGGGAAGCGGCTGGCTCGCAACACCAGACCCAAGGCCTCAAACCCACAGTGGCCCAGAAAGCGCTCGGTGATGGCCATCTGTGGGCTCGGAAGGTGCCTGATGATGTGAGGGTAACTTGAAGGCATGTGTTGCCCAAAGAGCCTCCAAGGAGCTCAGAGGAGGCAGACGCCCCCCTTCCCAAATACCAAGGCTCGGAGAGGGTGGGGATGCGCCCAAATGTGCACAGAAGCTGTGAGTACCCAGCATCCAGGCCCCAGCCCCACCTCACCTCCGCCTCCTGGGCCTTCCAGGGCCCACTACTGCTCTAAGCTATCTATCCTGGACCAGCTGCGCCCCCTCCCACCGCATACTCTTTGGCCCACCCCCCCCAGCCCCCCAGGCTTGGCCTCCCAGGGGCCTGTGGGACTCCCTCCCCTCAGGGTGCCAGCCCAGGTGGCCTCTGTCCCCTGCTGGGTGGGCGTGAGGAGCGAGGCCTAAGGCGGGGGGGCCCGGGCGCCCTCAGGAGACATGAGCATGTCAAACTTGATGAGTGGCGGAGCAATGACGCGCACCTCAGCACTCAGGGGGTTGCAGCGGAGGTTGATGCTGCGCAAGGCAGGCATGGCAGCCAGCTTCTCCACAGGTACATCTGTTGAGGAGAGAAGACAGGTTGGGGGCCGGGGGTAAGCAGGCAGAGAGGGACAGGGGACAGGAAGACGCCATCACCCACTGCGTGTGGGGTTTAGCGGCTGGCGTCCAGCCCCGGGTGGAGGGGGCCCTCGGAGCCCACTGCACCATTACAACCACATTCAGGGAAGCATCCCCCCACAAATACAGTGAAACGTTAGCACTGCCATGTATCCCAGCACGGCCACTCCTGGGTAGAACTGGAACAAGGGAAAACAGGTGCTCAAACAAGGACTTGGGCACAGATGTCCCCACAGGCGGGCCCTGATCCGCCGAGTGTCCCACCACAGGTAAGCAGACAAACGCAACGTGGTTATATCCAAACCGCAACACAGTATTCAGCCAGGAAAAGCATTGCTACGTGCCCTGAATCTCAAAAACGTGATGCTGAATGAAAGAAGCCAGACACCAAAGTTAACACAGCGTACAATTCCATTTATAGGAAAGGTCCAGAACGTGCACCCCCACAGAGACAGACAGTAGATGAGCGGTTGCCAGGGGCTGGGGGACGGGTGCGGGGTCTCCTCTGGGGTAAGGAAAGCACTTTGCAACTAGGTAAAGTGATGGTTGCAGAACATGGTGGATGTACTAAATACCATTGAACTGTACACTTTAAAATGGTTAATTTTATGTCATATGAGTTTTACCTCAATTAAGAAAAAAAAAAAAGGAGCAGAACAAGGCAGCCGCTATATTAACTCTTGCTAACCCTCCACAGAGCCTCACACCTAACCTTTAAGATCACTCAGGCTTCGGGTCAAGTCCCTGGAGGCCCCGTTAACAGCTGTGAGCCTAAAACAAATCACTAACCATCATATTACAGGATACACCTCACAGGACCGCTTGAAGATGAATGGGGGAGTGCATGCACTCTGCACAGTACTCAGGGAACATCAGATATGACTATCAGAGGGAACAGAGGGAAATACCACCACCTGTCCAACAGGGCTGTTGAAAGGCTTAGAGAGTTAACACAAGGCACTCAGAACAGGGGCTGGACACAGAGCACGCAGCCAACAATCAGGAGCCAAGGCCCCAACACACAGGCCCAGGGCTGAGCTGTCCTGGATGCAAACATCCCCTCCACCTTGCTCCAACTCTGCGAGCAGCCCACACACCGTGGGACCTCCCACCCCAGCCCAGGACAGGGCCAGGGCCTTAACCCCTGAGTCCTGCACAACCTCAGGCCATCAGTAATGGTAAGAACCAACTCCTACCTCTTTTGGGCGCCTTGCATCGGGCAGATGAAGGGTTTTCTGTTTTTTGTGGTTGTTTGGTTTTTCATTTTAGACCACTCTGGCATATTAAACGCATATTCTTAACATAAGTAAATGGTACTGTGTTACAGATCTCTTTCTGTTTCTGTGTTTTTTTTTTAATTAAGAACCAATTTTTTTTTTTTTTAAGACATACAGCATAATGCCTCAAGTGCAGGTAGATGAACACATAGGTAAACTCTCCATCCAGATGAAGCCAGAGCACATTTCAAGCATTCCCATAGGGCTGTCTTGTGCCTCTTCCCAGTTTATCACCCCCTGGTTTTTCTCACCACTGATTCACTTACGGGATCCTGAACTTAATCCAAGTGGAATCTACTAGTATGTCTCTCTTTAGACCTCCAGCGTAACAATTTTTTACTTGGGGGACATTTTAAATATGATTTTCTCAAGTTACTTTTTACTTTTTTACTTTTGGAAATAATTGCTTATAAAAAGTTGCAAAGGTAGAAACAGTACAGAGAACACCACATAACCTTTCACCAAGATTAACTGGTTGTTAACCTTTTGCCCTGTTTGCTTTATCATTTGTGCCTGGGCCTTCTCTGCGTGCACATGCACACACACAATTTTTTTTCTGAATTATCTGAGGGTAATATACACATACCATGGCCCTTCATCCCTACTTCATTGTGTATTTCCTACGAATAAAGACATCCTCTGGGACGCCTGGGTGTCTCAGTCAGCTAAATGTCTGTCTTCGGCTCAGGTCATGATCCCAGGGTCCTGGGATGGAGCCTTGTATTGGGGATCCCTGCTCAGTGGGGAGCCTGCTTCTCCCTCTCCTTCCTGCCCCTTCCCCCTGCTCATGTTCTCTCTCTCTCAAATAAAATCTTGTTTAAAAAAGTAAAAGACCTTTTCTGCCATAACCACGGCTATTGATTTGCTAAGTTTACATTGATAGAACCCTTCCCTAACATATGGCCCATATTTCAGTTTTCTCAGGTGACCTAATCACGTCCCTTAGATCATCCCCCGCCCCCTCCAGTACAGGATCCAGTGTAGGGGCAGGTGTTGCCTGTCTCTTTGCATTCCTTTCATGTGTCTTTTGTGATATTGACATTTTGGAAGAATATCAGGACCATCATCTCTGTCTTTTTAATAAAGAGTCCTATGTTTTGGGGCACGTGGCTGGCTCAATTGGTACAGCAGGTGACCCATGATCTCAGGGTTGTGAGTTTAAGCCCCAAGCTAGGTGTTGGAGCCTACTTAAAAAAAAAAAAAATTGGAAAAAAAGAAAAAGAATCCCATGATTTGTGGTTGTCTGGTGCGTCCTCATGGTGAGACTGGGATTATGGGTCCTCAGCTGAAAGAGGTGGTAGGGTCCTGGGCTATCACACAGGAGGCACACTGTATCTGTCCATCTGTCCCTCATACGTGATGTTAACTGTCATCACCCAGGCCGGGCGTTACTTGATTTCTCCACCGTGTAATTACTGTTTTGTTTTTTTTCCTCCCTTGCAACTTATAAGTCTGCAGGGACACACTTTAAGAGCGTGCAAATATCCTGCTCCTCGTCAAAATTAATCCATCACCCCTAGACGTAACACCTGCTGATTCTTGCCTGATCTGATCTTTATGAAGGCTGCAAACTGACTTTCCAACTCCAGCAGCCCCTCGGCATTTTGCTGTAGGCAAGAGCCTTACCTTCTCTCCCATGGATCTATTTATCATCAGTGTGGACTCCTATATTTCTAGCGGTTTACAGTTCCTTGCTGAATTTCATCATTTTGGTGCCCAAACTGCCCCAGATTTGGCCAGTGGGAGGCCCTCTGATCTGGCTCCAGAGTCCCGTGACCAGGACTTTTGAAGGGTAGACAGGATTTCAATGACAGGAAGGGGAATTTGTGGCTGGAGGGAAGTAGGGGCAAAAGAGTGGGGCTAGGATGCCAGACAGAGCTGGGGGCAGCGGGGGGACTGGAAGGTTCTATTGGTGGCATCTAGATGCAGTTCCTAAGTTTGCAGTAAGGCTCATCTCGAGGCTTTCCTGCCCCAGCCCTGGCATCAGCCATCAGGAAGTCCTCTTCCTCTGAGTGGGAAGGGCACCTGTGCCCAATACTCATGGTGCTGGTGACCAAACCATGTTTTACAAGCCACCCACGAGGCGCTGCGCACATCTGCTTTGGACAGCTGCCTGGAACACCATCCTGAGTCCTTACCACCCTCTAGCTCTCCTCTCTGCCAGTGATGGCCAGCCAGGTGGCCTCTGTCCTTCAGGGTCGGTGGGATAACGTCTTTGGATGGATGCCTGGCAGCAGGATTGCTCTGTCAAAGGATATGTGTGTATTCTTCATCTCATCGCTCTCTAGAAACCGTGCTGAGTCTCCAAGGGGCTCTAGCCACCCTGCCATCCTAAGGCTTTCAAATGGGGCTGCCAGGGCCTGCCGGCCCCAACCTCCAGGCTGAGGGACCCTTGACCTCCAGCGAGGTTCTGTGTGTTCTTCCCTTCCCCTCCCCTGGAGCTGCAGTGAGGGGTGGGCAGCACCTGGGGCTCCATGGTCCAGGAAGAGGGTGAGCGGGGCCCACCCTTCGGAAAGTGCCCCACAATGGAATCCTCTGAAGACATCTATTCTCCTCCCTTCTGGACTTGGTAACTGGGACACAGCTACTCCCTAGCTCTAACAGGAGGAGGGAAGGGGAGGCCACAGCCTCAGGAAAGTTCCTCACAGGTGCCTGTCCCTCAGTGTATAAAGTGCTTCCATATTTGATCCTTCCCAGAGCCATGGGGTAGAGCACCACAGGTGCTCCTCAACCCACTTTACAGATGAGGACACTGATGGTCAGGGGCTGCCTGCTCATTCGCAGTGCCCCCCCGAGTCCAAGCCCGGCCTTGGTGGCCATGGGAAGGGAGAAAGCAACCCAAAGGACTTACACTTACATCAACAGGCGACTCCAGTACCCCTGGAGGCCTCTTCCTCCCCCAGGCCGTCAAGCCCAAGATGCTCCCAGCAAAGTGGGAGTTTGTAGCCATTCGGGATCTCTGCCGGTGGTTGTTTTTGTTTAACTCATGAGTGTTGAGTGCTTGGTGACTTCAGCTCTTTAGGTTAAGTTTCTCGATCCTCACAACAGCTCTTTCGCAGAGTACCATCTTGTCCCCATTTTACAGATGAGAAAAATTGTGGAGAGGTTAGGTAACTTGGCCACGGTCACACAGGTGGAAAGTGCTGGAGCCAGGATACGAAGCCGGGCCTGCTGGCTTGAGTCTGGGCTCTTCATGCCACCTCCCACTGGGCCCTCCAGCCTGGCCTCCCATTTCCCCCCACCCCGCACCAGCTAGGAAAACCCTCCACAGGTTCCAGTAGTTTAACAGGAGACCGAAAACAGTCTTCCTGCAGGGCTTCCTGGGACCCAGCAGGAGTTGTGGCTTTCTGACCAGGGCACTCACAGGTCTCTGTACCACCCAGCTCCCTCCCAAAGTCCAGGGACTTCCCCTCCAAGGGGAAGCGGGGGGGGGGGGGGGGGGGGGGGGGGGGGGGGGCACAGAAACTCAGAGCTCTCTAAAGCCCCCTCGGCAGGGTAGGCGAGGAGGCATATTTGCTGACCTGCCCTGAGAGAAAGGGTTTCCTGGAGATTTCTCCGATGCATTCTAGAATCTTCCACGCCTCCTTGTTCTGCTCTGCATCACAATACAGAATAAACCTGTCCCTTCTTCCATGATAAAATTTCTGAAACTTGTAGTCCAAAA